CCCCTGGAGCACATGCTGAGCTAGCAGGGCCAGGACAAAGGGTCAGCTAAGCAAGGCTTTCCTTTCCAAGCTTAGTGATTACCTTCTGGTCACCTCTGGAACTGATGACAAGGCCCAGTCCCAGGCATTTTCAAAGCTGGACTCACAGGCAGAGGTACAAACAGAAAGCGCTCTAGCTGCCCACTGATCAGCATCCACGGACAGCAGCCTTTGTGCACCTTGGTGCTGGTGAGGGGCACAGCAGGGTCATGAGCCTTATCCCACAAGTGCCAATCGAGGGCCCAGAGCTGCAGACCTGGTGGTCCCCTGCATTATGGCACAGCTGGCTGTATGTTCGCAGTTGGTGGGTTTCAGGGCTGCTGCTCAGAATACGGGGCCGTTTGCTTCTCGTTAGGGGAGTCCTGACTCATTTCCTGGGGATCCTGGCATGCTCATCCACCTTGCCTTTGCAGAATCACAGCTTCAAATCAGGGAGGAATCTCCCCGGCTGCAGGATCAATAACCAGAGGAAGACTCATAAATCCTTTGGTTAATACCACTCTTGTAGAGGTGTGTTTTGTCTAATCCAAGTGTGGCTGGGATCTCTGTTGTCTGTCCCAAATTTGCAGACTCAGATGATCCAGTGAGTAAGATCACCCCATGTGACCAACAAGACACCTGACCACCCTGAGCTCGATTCCTGGTACCTACTCTGTGTTTTACATGAGAATGTCCCCATGGGCTCAGACGTTTGAACACTTGGTCTCCAGTAGGTGGGGCTGTTTGGGGCGGTGTAGCCTTTCACTGGGGGTGGCCTTTGAGTGTGGTCCTGCTCCACTTCCAGTTTGTTCTCTGCTTCCTGGTGTGATCTCTCAGCTTCCTGCTCTGGCCGCTGTGCTGTGCTGCCACGCTGCCACGCTGCCAAGCCTCCCAGTCATGATGGACTCTTACCCCTCTAGAACTGTAAGCCAAAGCAAACGCTTTCACAAATTGCTTTTGATCTTGGTGTTTTACCCCAATAACAGAAAAGTAACTAATACACAGATGTAACAATAGGTGAAGAGAATCGACTCACAAAGTTGTCTTTAAAAAAAAAAGATTGCTGCACAGCGTGGGTAATTTCTATACACATCTGGTCAGTATTCGGCCTTCCCTGTCCTGCATCTGGTCTCAGTGAAGGCCCATGGCTTTTGGAACCCATCCTGTTCCAACCCCACTCCCCTCTTGGGGTAGTGCAGACATGGCATTGTGTGCTCAGTCCACAGACTCGGGTGGTCTGAGCTCTCATGGGTCTCATTTCTGTGACCAGATTTTTGGCAAAAGCCACATCAGGAAGGAAGGACTGATTTTGGCCCACACTTGGGGGAGATTGTAGTCCATCTTGGTGACGTCATGGTGGCAGGAGGGTGAGACAGTCTGTCCAGTTGCATTCACAGTCAAGAAGCAGAGAGAGATCAGCGCTGGTGCTCAGAGCACTTTCTTCTTCCTGTTCAGCATGGGAGCCCTGTCCAGGGTGTGGTGCCACCGACAGGCAGGGTGGGTCCTCCTGCCTCCCTTAACCCCTGCGGATGTGCGCTCACAGACCTACCCAAACGTCTCCTAAAGTTATTCCAACCAAGCCTCAGCTCTGGCCTTGATAACAGACTGTGCTGCTCCTCTCATGCTTGACACTTCTGCTCCTGTGCTACAGTCAGAAGCCCAAACTCTGCCTCACTGAGCTAAAGCCAAGGTGACATCAGGGCCAGTTTCTTCCTGAGGTTCCAGATCAGAATCCATTTCCTGCCTTTTACAGCTTTTAGGTCTCTTGCTCACCCCCACCCCACCCCCGCCATGCCCACATACAGTAGGCCAGCAGAGCAGCATCTTCAGAGCTCTGACCTGCTGTCACCTCCTCCTCTCTGTAGTCAGAAGTTTTCCTGTGTCCGGCCAGGTCCTGCAGCTGCTCAGACCCAAGTAAACATACAGAGGCTTCTATCATTTACAAACTGTGTAGTCTATGGCAGGCCTCTTGCTAGCCATTACATGCTGCTCCCCAGACGGCGGGATGGCATCTCCTTACTCTCTTTTCCTCTCTCACTATCTGTCTTGGATTTTCCTACCTGGCTCCAACCTGCCCTGCTATAGGCCAATGCAGCTTTATTTATCAACCAAACAGGGCAACACATATTCACAGCATACAGAAAGACATCCCTCAGCACCTCTCAGACTCCAACTCCTGCCCCTCCCCCCACTTCCCCTTATAAGAATCCACCCAGAAAAATCCAAGTTAACACTCCCATCTCAAGATCCATGGCCAGATCGCATCTGCCAAGTCCTGCAGTAAGAGGTGACCTGGACATCTCTGGGGCCATTGTTCCGCTGGCCTAGCCCTGGTGTAGTGGGAGTGAGAGTGATAATTGATGTCTGAGAGGGTAGATAGAGGTACACAAACACGTGGCAGCCACCAACCTAACCTCCCTTTGGTCTGTGCACAGGAGCCCAGCAGAATCCCGCAGCCTGGAAGCAGTGCCAGCAGCCCAGAGAAAAAGCTAAGCAGATCACAGCAGCTGAAGAAGGTTTTCCAAGAATACGGGGCTGTGGGGGTGTCTCTGCACATTGGGATCTCGCTGGTCTCCTTGGGGATATTTTACACAGTTGTTTCCAGGTACGGTTTTCGATGGTGCTCATTATGTTTGTGGCTGGAGGTGGTAGCTCACACCCGTGAATGCCGGGAGGCTAGCCTGGGCTTTAGCATGAGGCCTGTCTACAAATAACTGAAGGAAGTGCTGGGGCGCAGCCCAGTTGGTAAAATATTTGCCCAGCATTCAGGTGGAGGCAAGAGGGTCACGGTTCCAGGCCTTGGCTACATAGAATTTGAGGCGAGCCTGGGCTACATGAGATCCTGTCTGAAAAACATTTTTTGTTTTGTTTTTGTACTGTGGTAAGGTAGGCTAATATGTGGATGAATTTTGTTGTTTTTATTTTGGGTTTTGTTTTGTTTTGTTTGCTGAAACCTACCTACTCACCCAATTCCTTATATTATATATTTTAAAAATACATCTAGTTCATATGGGTCAGCAAGATGGCTCAGCAGGTAAAAAGTGCATGCCATAGGAGCCTGGCTACCTGAATTGCACCCCAAAACCCACAGTGGAGAGAGAACCAGCACCTGGAAGTTGTCCTCTGACCTCTCCATGTGTGCCATGACATGTGCATTGCCCGTACTCATACACACAATAATCATAAGATTTTTTTAATAAAAAGCAAAAGTACTGTTAACCTTCTAGGCCAATCGGTTTCTTCCTTTAATCCCTGGCTGTAATGTTTCCTTTGCCTCTTTCTCCTCCAGTGGCGTAGACATGTCTGCAGTCCTGCTTAAGCTTGGCTTTAAAGAGTCGCTGGTGCAATCCAAAATGGCAGCCGGCACCAGCACATTCGTGGTGGCCTATGCCATCCACAAGCTGTTTGCGCCCGTGAGGATCAGCGTCACCCTGGTCTCTGTACCCTTCATCGTTAGATACTTCCGCAGGGTGGGACTCTTTAAACCTCCAGCCACCAAGCCGTGATGAAGCCAGTTTCTTCAGGATTTGGGTTGGTTTCAGGGTGGGATTTGGGGGGGGGGGCGGGGGAGTCACTGGGGCTAATTGCTGTGTTCCTTGTGGGTTGATTTTACCTTTGCCAGCAAAAATCAAGTGTTTTAATTTACTTTTTTTAAAAATGCTGTTTCTCAAGGAGCCATGTTTGTGACTTAAAATGTCACCAGGGGTTCAAAATGAGTTGACAGCCAGGAATGGTGGTACAGGCCGGTAAAGCCAGCCACTGAGGAGGCTGAGACAGGAGGATCTCAAATTCAAACAGTGAAGAGAGGGCTGAGGGCACACAAAGGGCCTAAATTCGATCCCAGTAAAAAAACCGAGACTGCCTACAAAATGATCCTTCTGGATCATTAGGCCGGAGTCCTGTCTGCAGCACCCCCCCTCCGGGGGGAGGGGAGGGGCTAACCTTTGCTCAGGTTCTTAAAAAGCAGTGGTTAATTTGCTGGCTTTTAAACTCCCCCTCCCCGATCTGTCACTGGCAGCAAGCTGTAGTTTATCACACAGTATTCTGCAGACAGCTGCCAGCCCTACAATTAACGAAGCAAAAATTAAGTCCGTAATCATGATCTACATTGACATCAAGCCCTTGACATTCACAACAATTGCTTGGGGAAAGCAAGCCAAGAACTCCCGGGTGCTTCACTGACTCCAGAGCACCTGTGCGTCTGGCTGTGCTGTGGCTGTTTGTCAGTTCATTGATTCGGGGCAGTATTGTTTGTAAATCGAGAAACCTGCCCAGTTGTAATGGTATCACTTGGCTCCTGATGCCAATATTCAGGGGAACTCAGATTCTCACATAGAAGCTAAAAGCATCCTAGCTTTCTTAGACAATCCATGTAGCTGTCTAAAACTTGAAACATTCCAGAGCTGACATGATATTTACAATGTGCCACTGTTTAAATTTTTTAACTGAATTAAATCATATGCATGAAGTACTTGTACCACTTTCAAAAAAAATGGAAAATATTGTTTGTTCTAAATGGAAGACAACCACAAAGCCACAAAGTGCTACAAGCCAAGGAGAAGAGACGTGTGTTAATTAGGGTTCTATTGCTGTGATGAAACACCATAACCAAAAGCAATTTGGGGAGAAAAGGGTTGATTTCACTCACCGTTCTATGTAACAGTTCATCATCAAAAGCAGTGAGGGCAGGAACCTGGAGGCAGGAGCTGATGCAGAGGCCATGGTGGGGTGCTGCTTACTGGCTTGTTCCTCATGGCTTGCTCAGCCTGCTTTTTTACAGAACTCTGGACCTCCAGCCGAGGGATGGCACCAACCACAATGGGCTGAGCCCTTCTACATCTATCACTAAGAAAATTCCAGAGACTTGCCTACAGCCCCATCTTCTGGAAGCGTTTTCTCAATTTAGGTTCCCTCCTCTGTGACTCTGGCTGTGTCAGGTTGACATAGAACTAGGCAGCACCAGAACTGGACAGGAGTAACTACTGTCTACCAAGCAAGGGTAAGTGTAGGGGGAGGTTGGAGTAGAAACCAAAGCAGAGGCTTCCTCCTCCAGGAAGCCAGGAGCAGCTGGAGCAGGGATTGGCTCCATCACTCAAGCCTCCCCTCTGGGCAGGCTACCACGGGGCGCTTGTTATGTCAGACCCAAAGGAAGCTCCAATTCTCCAAACCCCACGACAGTCCAGATATCCAGAAGTGGGTTCAGCCTGGACTACAGGATTTCTGGTGGTCAGATAAAAGCCAACATTCCTTAGGAACTTGTGAAACCGGTTCCCCTCTACCAAAAGGAGACATTTCCCTTACCTCTGACAGAGGGACCTATGGCTGCCTTTGGCGCCTATCTGCATATTAAAGCTCATGCTGGTATCAGTTACCTGATACACATTTCTAAGTCCTTGCTAGCATCCAAGCCCTTCTTACCCCCTCCTCCACCCGAAACTCCCTGGGGCTCACAGGCTTCCCTTCCACCAGCTACTCTTCTTGATTACCTGGCTCCTGCTACTCTGTGTTCTGTTTCCTCCCTTCTCGCAGTTAGCCCTGGTCACATCCAGTCTGCTGGCCATGTTCAGTCCACTTCTCTTTGCTCTGGACTCCTCCAGATGCCTCTGGCTGTTCTCTCACATCTACAATCAAAAGCTTCCCCTTACTTACCATGTCAGTTTGTACAGTTCTACCCTGGGGAGCCAGTGTTTGAAGTCTGCACAGCTGCATGGTGGGAAGGATGGCATTCGTTTTTCTTGCTCACAATTCCCTTTAAGTGACTTTGACGATCAGAAAACAAAAGAGCACTGCTAACCACAGAAACGTATTTTACAGAGATCTGGCTGACAGTTTCTTAGCCCAGTTACCCACGTCACTTGTCTCAGTTAACATTTAAAAGAATTTTTGTGAGAGATTCTCCATTCTTGATCTTTAAAGTGGGACAGCGTTGTTTTCCTCTTAATGCAGCCCACAGCTGGAAGCTTTTACTGACTTCAATGCCCTGTGTGGATCCCCACCCATCCTAGCCTTCCATTCAGGTCCCTAAATAACACCTATGCAAAGAAACACATTGAAAATAGCAATAAAACTGTCCCCACAGCAGGTGTCTTCCAAGCCAAACCCCACTCACGCCTGTACCCAGCAGCCAGAACCAGGGATGAGCTGAGGGACTAAAGCACCAGCTCAGCCTACCAGCAAGACAAGCTGATCTGCTCCTGTGTTCTTTCATGGAACTGGAGCAGGGAAACTATTTTAAAATGTAAGCCATTGTTTGCCTCTAGTTTTCTAAGGAGACCAAATGAACAGCTTAGATTCTGTGAAACAAATAAAAACATCTTTGTAAAATGATGTGTTTTGTCGTCTGGAAAGCCGTCGCTGCTGCCGTCAGGAACAGCACCATGGGACGTGGCAACAATCTGCTGTTCGCATGAGCTGCGGACGGCAGTGTCCTACACTCAGGCTGGATCCCTGTAGTCACTTCACAGTTAACTGCAGCTTGGGTGGACAGTACTTGGAATGTTGCTATTTCAACAAAGCTAGTTAGTTTAGCACAGGACTGGGGACCAAAAGCTGGTTTATCCCCAGGGGATAGATAGCTTCTGCAGTTCCACTCAGGCATGTTCTGGAGTGTAAGGATGGTCCAGTTGACATGTCATTTTATTTATACTGGCCACTTGCATTTCCAGTCATCTGACATCTAGTGTCCCGAGTTGGCTGTGAAAGCCTGTTTCTCTAATTCCAAGTCCCCTCTGGGTGATGGACAGACAACACTGGCTGCTATAAGCTCAACATGTTAGGAGCATATCCTAGAGACCAGAAAAGCACACCTGCTCACTCTAGCCAACAGTGAACAGGTGACCAAATGATTACCCATGTACTCCAGGTAGATTATACATACATTTATATATTTAACAAGTTTGCATACATGACAGAACTCCAACATGAGAAAGAGCCTGTAACATCTAGAAACACCTGAGTCAAGTCCAAGGCAGGCGGAGCGCTCCATTGTGGTGGTTGAGGATCCGAATCCCATACAGGCTTGAGAAGGCTGAAAAACGGGTATTCTGAAGGGGATCCACTTAAGAAGAAGGAAGTCTATACAAATCTTTATTTTAACATTTAAAACTACATACTCATTCCAACAGCTTTCCCAGGCCCGGCGACCCAATAAGTTACACACACACTCAGGCACTTGAAGGCTACGGACACAGGTGATCACCAGGGAGGGTGGCAGACTGGTACCTTTCCCAGTGAGACCCCACGAGGACACCTTGGGGGCAGAGGCCGAGGGGAAGCTGCAGTGGAACCTTCCCTTCAGATTACTACACCAGGAAAAGCAGCATGGTTCTTGGGGCTTGGGCAATGTCACATGTGCTCAGGTGGGGCTTCCTGGATGCAAGGCCAAGGACTGCCTGCTTGGCCAGGGTTACTGAGGGCAGTAGTGATGGTCCGGGAGGTCTCGATGGGGCATTTCTCACAGTTGCGCAGTGGCCGTGGCCCCCGATTCTGTAAGACGGTTTGCTAGTTAGCTCTTTGTTTTTTGGCCAGTTGAAGGTTTTGTGGAGTTGGCTGTGATCCAGGGGTGCTCTAGGACTTCCGCCAGCGTGAGCCTCTGGCTTGAGTTGTGCTTTAACAGTCTTGAAATGAGGTCCCTGGCCCCCTCCGTCACAAAGTCGGGGAATGTGAACTCAACCTGGAAAACAGATGACAAAATCACAGGCCTGGGTCAGGTGTACGCGAATACACACCGGCCCTCGGCAGGAACTGAGCAGCAGCACCTTACCCGTGATATCCTTCTGTAGGTCTCCTGGTGGGTGTGTGCCTCAAAAGGAGGCATCCCAACTAGGAACTCATAGCAGAGGACACCCAGGCTCCAGAGGTCCACCTTCTCATCGTGCATCCGGCCTTCAATCATCTCGGGGGGCAGGTAGTCCAGAGTGCCACACAGCGTGGTTCTCCTGAAACCGATAGAGGCTGGGGTTGACACACTCTGACATACATGTGACACGAGCACTCCCCACGCCCGGGCGTTGCTGTCAGACACGCGCTCACCTACATCCCCACTTTTAGGAAATGGATGGAGGGGAGTGTGTAAGGTCACACACTAGCCATCACACTTCCCCCAGACCAACTCTTAGAAGATCTAGAGAAAAAAGTACACTCCTCTCATCCCAGTCACACTATCAGGATAGTGAATTCTGAAGGCCAGTCTGGGCTTTGAAGCAAGACCCCACCCAGAAAACAATGTTGCTCTGCAGTGTTCCCTGGAAATACTATTTGGAGTCCCACAGGAGCTCTCAGAGAAGTGTCACTACCATTTCAGGCTGGGAGTATTGGCACACATCTGTAATTCCAACATCTGGTAGGATGAGGCGGGGGTACTGAGAGAGGTTCAAGGCCAACCTTGATTACTTCAGTGAAGGGGGGATAGGAAGGTAAGGGTCTACGAGATGCAAGAGGCAGCCACATACTGCAGGGAACTGCACCGGGTTCTTTAACACTTCTGCTGTTTTGGTTGGGGGTTTAAAGATTTCATGTTCATTTTACATGTGTTTTGCCTGCATGTCTGCACATGAATGTTGTGTCCAAGGAGGCCAGGAAAGGGCACCGCATCTCCTAGAACTGGAGTTACAGCTGTGAGCCACCATATGGGTGCTGGGACCTGGGTCCTCTGCAAGAGCAGCCAGTGCTCTTCACAGCTGAGCCACATCTCCAGCCCCCCAATTGTTTTTTCTTATTTTTTTTTAAAGTTTTATTTATTTATTATATATATAGCATGTATGACTGCAGGCCAGAAGAGGGCACCAGATCTCGTTACAGATGGTTATGAGCCACCATGTGGTTGCTGGGAACTGAACTCAGGACCTCAGGAAGAGCAGTTAGTGCTCTTAACCTCTGAGCCACCTCTCCAGCCCGCCCCCGCCCGCCCGCCCGCTCCAATTATTTTTTAAAAGCGAGACTGGCCTCCAAGGAGCTATCACCCTGGCCTCAGCCTTCTAGCTGCTGCTGGGTTTATAGTATGTGCCACCACACCTGCTTGGGCTCAAAAACAAAATAAAACAACAAAAAATATTCACACGCATTATCTCTCCTAAAACCCGCAAGCTGTCTCTATCCTGATGTCATCACTGGACAGGTCATAGTCCAGGCTAATCTAATCATACAACCCCATGACACCTACAGCTCTCTGGTGTTTGTTTCAGTGGGTAGCAGGAGCACCCACTGATGTCATCAGTTCAAACAACCTACCACAGTGCAGCTGGAGACAAACAGAAGTGACCTTAAACTGCCCTACTTTTTTAAAAACAGGCTGAAAACTGTTTAAAGTTACACTTATTTGCATGTTTGTGTATGCACACCTTTGTGAGAGAACATACCACAGAGCGAGCTTGGAGGACAATTTGGTCAGAGTCGGTTCTCTCCTTCCACCAAACGGTGCCAGGAGTGAACTCTGATGGTCAGCCTCAGAAACAAGCACCTTTACCTGCTGAGCTTTCTCCTCCAGCCTCTAACAGGCTTTTAAAAAGCGGCATTTGGTAATATTTTAAAAAGCAGTCCCCAAAGGTGGCAGAGACCTTGCTTGTCAGCAGGAGTAAGCTTTACCCCAAACACCCCATTCCACGGACAGCAAAGCTGCTGAAACCCAATTCAATTTGCAGAGTGTGCCTACTTTTCAACTGTTGCAATAGATGGCGCCTCTGCTTCATCTTTAGCAGGGACGGTAAAGGTCTGCTCCTGCTGTTCACACACGCAGGAGTCAGCATCCTCAGAGCTGCACACACCCCACGTGGCTTCGAAGTTCCAAACAACTGGCACTTGGCTCTGTTCTCCACCGCGCCAAGGCCCTCCAGTGCACATCTTGTGTATCGACCATACATCAGCCATACCTCTTAGTTCATTGCCCTCTCCCACTAGCCTCTAGGGACAGGCAGCCTCTGTAAGTCAAGGCCTAGAGTGCCAGAGCCCAAAACGGTCACAGAAAAAAAAAAAAACTATCAGGTCTACATTGCTCCAAAATACTCCTAGGTCAGCCAAGACCCCTTATTTCTTCAGGGTGACTAGCCTTTAGTTAACAGTCCCTGCCCCCACCTCGTCCAAGGTTCTGCTAACTGCTTCCACCTCTGGAACCCCATACCTGGAAGATGGAGCGTGCACAGACCACCCGAAGTCTGCGATCTTCAACTCTCCATTTGGCCCAAGAAGCAGGTTCTCTGGCTTAATGTCTCTGTGGATGACTCTCTTTGAATGACAGTACGACAGAGCGTTGGCCAGCTCAGTGATGTACTATTGGGGAAAAGCAATGAAGCCCGGGTTAGGATTTGGGAAAGCAGAACTGTGAAAGCTGATCCAAAGGAGCCAGACCAACACGGTTTTCACCTTTTGAAGAAAAAGGGGTAAGTCTATAACACAACTGCAGACGGCTAGACCCATCAGGGCTTAGTTAACTCTAAGCTAAGACCAGTGATGTGACCTTGTAAGGCAGGGAAGGCCCTGGCCGTAAGCTGGAATTACGTACGGTCCCACCAGGCAGCCGAGGAAGAACTACACCATTAGCAATCTTGAACACTTAAAGGGCCCTGACCAGGCGCACAGACCTGGAAGGAGGAATCCCGCAGTCTGCTTTGCATCCCGTGACTCCAGAGAAGTATGTTAAGTTTTAGTCATCATCAAAGTGTGTGAGCCCAGAAGAAAAGGCGAGGCAGGCAGAGGCAGTCCTTTTTTCCTCCTCCCCAGAGTCCCTGAGCTGGGCTGTACTTGGGCGGCAGCTACTTACTCAGCTTGTATGAGACACCTCCGTTAGTCATCTCAGGACAGAGCTGAGGGTGGCACAGAGTGTCCCACTGTGCCAAGTACATATGTAGTTGGCAAAAAACTTAGTTTTCCCAAAAGGAAAGTAAGGCAGGAAAAACACACCATTGTCAAATAGGACAATTCTTTCGTAGTCCACGGTAGAGCCCAAACTTGGGACCCTCAAGAAGCTGGCCCTCACTGCACACCGACAGGCAGAGGCCACAGTGGGCTTCACTGTTAACGCCATTGGCAGCAGGAGCGAGGGTTAGCCTGTGCTCCCTGGCACCACTTCCCCAGACCTCCCAGGCTGTGGGGCTGGGGCTAAACCCCTTACACCGCCTACAGTGACTTCAATTCCAGGAAAAGTAAACAGGGGGTTGGGGGGGGGGGTGCTAGTCTAAGTAACAAGGAATCTAGAAAGAAATATTCTTGACCTACATCCAAATGCACACACTTGGACTGAAGCCTTAAATGAGAAGTATAAATGTGTGGACGACATTTATGTACAAATCCGGGGTCTGACGTAGGATAACATCAGAAACCGGTGGACAATTTCCTTATTTACCTTTGAAAAGAAAGTTGGCCAAACAGGTGATTTATTTTTATTTGTTTTGTTTCTCTGTAGCCCTGGCTATCCTGGATCTCGCTCTGTAGACCAAGCTGGCCTTGAACTCAGAGATGGACCTGCCTCTGCCTCCCAAGTGCTGGGATTAAAGGTGTGGGCCACCACTGCCTGGCTAATGATTTCTTATTAATGGCTAATTAAAGAAAATGATTAGTGGAGGTTGCTGTAAAAATCAGGTAGGCATGTTGGCAGCCTGTAATTCCAGCACATGGAAAGCAGACAAGACGCAGAAGAACACTGCTGTGCTTTAAGGGAGGCGAGACCACACTGCCGTGAGAAAGGGTGGGAAGGGTGGAAAGGAGGGAAACACTCAGACTGGGAGGAAACATCAGCAGACACACAATAAAGGAGGTAAAGGAACCAAGACACAGTAGGGGGAAAAGCACCATAAAAACAACAAGAGAAATACAGGCATCTAATGAGATATACAAACAACAGCCAGTGTCATCAACACTGGGAAACTACAGATCAACAGGAAGAAGAGACCGCTACACCCTATCAGAACCACTGATGTCCAAAACCCTGACAGCAAATGCCAGAGGAGGGAGAGTCATCTTCAGTGACAGAACTGCCACCAACTGACCCAAGCATAGTGTGTCATACATGTACTGGACCACATAACTAATAAGGAGGCAGAGGAGGATGCTCTTACCACTGGGGTGCAGCGTACAGTGCAGCCCAGGGACAGGGGCGTCCACAATGGTCCACACATAATGATGAGCTGAGGCATCAGTCCAGCTCGCTATATCAGGGCGATGAGCACTGATCACTAAACACATTCTCCCTTTTTCTCTGCAGCTGAGGACCAAACATCAACAGCTCAGCAGCAAGAGCTCCCGCCCTTGGGTTTCCACTAACATTCGCCAACGGAGGAGCCAAGATCCTTACGGAAGGAACGGCTGCTTCCAGGGGCAGGCCCAGAAGTAAAGAAAAAGCCAAGCACTCTGCACCAGAGAGAAAGCACATATAGCCAAAATCCCCACAATGGCAGTTTACATAGGAACCAGGAAGAGCTCCCAGCAGCCAATGCTGGAACAACAGAATAGAGTAGCACTGGACAAACATAAAACACGTCCTCTGCATTCTAAGTAAAAGAAAGAGGAGAGACAGCTACCCTTCTAGAGGACCCGGGTTCGGTTCCCAGCACCCACACGAGTGTTCACAACCATCTGAAACTCCAGCTCCCTCTTCTGGCCTCTGTGCATGTGGTACACAGATAAACATGCAGGCAAAATATTCACAGATGTGGAATAAACTAACAGGACAGGAAAAGCAGCCTCCCGGCCCAGACTCACACTGACTTCACAGTAGAAGCAAAGGACAAAGATGCCCAGGCACAGGACACTAAGCTTACCACCCCAGCAAGCAGTCATGCACATTACAAATGTACAATGGTGACATGTGACAAGACTGCTCTTGGAACCAAGATCTTCCTCAGTATCCACACCCCTGTCTAATCACAAGGAAAACGAATGCACTCTGAAGAAAAGTGTGGACTTTATTGCTTTAGTTATGACAAAAGCATATTAACTAAAGTTGTTGTTAGTAACTGAGAAATAAGGTGTGGGGCAAACAGAAACTCTCTGTTGTTATTTTTGTATCTAGAGCTATTCTACTGAAATAAACCCTGTGGTAGTCTGTGTAGTGGTCCCCATAGGCTCATAGGCAGTGGCACTACTAGGAGGTGTGGCCTTGCTGGAGGAAGTGTGTCACTGTGGGGGCGACTTGGAGGTTCCTATGCTCAGGATACCGCTCCAGCACCAGGTCTGCCTGTACTCTGCCATGTCCCACTATGATGATAATGTAATGGACTAAACTTCTGAGCTGTAAGCCACCCCAATTAAATGTTTTCCTTTTTAAAAGTTACAGTGGCCATGGTGCCTCTTCACAGCAATAGAAACCTAAGTAACACACACACACACACACACACACACACACACACACACACACACACACACGCCAGCCACTCTATATATGAGGTAGAAGCAGCCTTGATTTTTTTCAAATAATTGATTCTATTAAGCCCTTTCTATGAAGACAGTCAACTCCTCCATAAAGAAAGGGACCTCAGGAAGACAAGGGAGAGAGAAGAACGAGTCTGGACAGTGAGGCACTTACTGTAGCTGTTCTCTGCTCGTCAAACTTGGAGAGTTTCTGGAGCTCTCTATAGACTGTTCCAAGGGGCGCGTATTCTAGAATTAGATAAACTCTGGTGGCATCATGGAAATACCCATACAGCCTGAGGATGTTGGGGTGCCTGCAACAGAGGAGAGAGACAGTGACACCGGGCTGCAGATCCCACTCAGGATGGACTCATGCCGACCCTGAGGGAACACATCAAGAAGGGCGTCTCAGGGCACACATGAGATCTGAACGCTGAGCCCAAGAAAACAGGACTTCATAGGTATGCACACATGGACTGCAAAGTACAAACGGTTTGGGTTGAGTCCACACAGCTCCCTTTTAGAGATCTTTGTTCTTAGTGGGATTGTCAGCTGAACCCCGAATCTCTCCGTGTGGAGGAGACAGTGCCTGTGCAGAGGAGTGGGATGTGCCAACAGGAGACACAACCAAGATGACGGGCAGCAGAGGGCAGGTGCCACATGGCTGGGCACAGCCTCCCTGAGGTGACAGCACCGCTCACAGCCCACAGCCCCCACTCTGCCAGGTGACAGCAGAGCTTCAGGACTGGATCTGAGTCAAACTCGGAAAACACTGAAAACAAAAAGGAAAACCAACAAAACACACGACTCAACCAGGGTCTTCCCGCAACGCTCCTCCTGAGGAAAGAAACCCCAGGTAAACTCCTTGAGGGATGTTTCCTCAGGCCACATCCATTGCATCTGCAGGAAATGGCAGCTTCCATCATTCCCTGTAGCGTCCCAAAGAAGCCGGGAGGGAGTCACTCTGGTCCCCCAGCTCCGGTGACAGGAGGGCCACTCACCGCAGGTGGGACTGGATCTCCACTTCTCTCCGAAGCTGGTGCTCCACCCCTGCCTTCTCCAGCTGGGTTTTAAACAGCACCTTCAGGGCCAGGATGAACTTGCTTTGCTTCTCTCTTGCCAAATAGACATTTCCAAACTTGCCTTTACCTAGTGGGCGGCCAATGTCAAAGTCTTCCAGAGTCCACTGCCTTCTAGAAAGTAACGTGAATATTTAAGATATGAAAACATCTCTACCATTTGCCCATGAGCAGTCAACCTGTTCATGCTCAGACTACATACAGTAAGTACATTCGACATGCACCAACCCCGAACTACCAGAATGAGCCACGAACTTGAAAGGCCAACTTCCCCAGCCCAAAGCAGCACTGCACTCCAGAACAGACAGACTGACAACCCTCACCACCACAGGACAGCTACAGCACTGGCAGCACCCTTTCAGGACCGTGTGGGGACCTCCTCCCTGCACAGCCCCAGAGAAGCCACGGGCTGTCGGGGAGAGCCACTGTCTCTGTGAAGCAGGACAGACCCAGCAAGTCATTCCCAATGTCTTCACAAACTGTGTGTTAGTTCTGTAAGCTGGGCAGTCTTCGGGTCTGTGTTGTATGTACATTGACATGGGATTTTTTTTTTATTTACTACTTTTTAAATAATGAAGTTTTAATAACATTTTCCATGAAAAAATTAATTAAAGAAATAAAAATAACTTTTGATCCCCTGGTAAATTTGACTTTAACGGGGATGGTGTTAAGCGTGGTGGCCTACAGCCAGATGGATATTCTGGTAGAAGAGGAAGAAAGCTTACTTTTTTGAGTCTTCAGTTTTCTGTTTTGATGCCTGTTCCTTTTCAGAATTATTTCCTATATGAAATAAGTTAAAATACTGTTTTTAGAGCAACTATATGAAGTTCTTAAAAAAAAAAAAATCTGTGAACAAAGATAAATCAAAGAATAGTCACATAGCTGGGCAGGGTGGCGCACACCTTTAATCCCAGCACTCGGGAGGCAGAGGCAGGCTGATCGCTGTGAGTTCGAGGCCAGCCTGGTCTACAGAGCGAGATCCAGGATAGCTACAGCTACACAGAAAAACCCTGTCTCAAACAAAACAAAATAAACAACAAAAATCCATCACCAAAATACTGGAGATGCATCAAGCATCATAAACCCAGGCTTTTCATTTTCTTCACCAGGAAGATTACTAAATCAGAAACCAAACATAGCCTGTAACCTGCTTCCTGCCACATGGAACCTCATAACTTCTAGGAAATATGAGCAGGCCCTCCTCCAACAAAACCGTGAATGTCTCACCCTGGAGCTTTCCCCAGGAAGAGCTTCCAGAGAGAAATCAGCAGCACCCCCATCCACAAGCTGCCACGGCTACCTTCTCCACCTGCGGAGTGGGCAGCGGACATGCATGTGCTGCTGTGTACAAATTATTAACATCGGAAGAGAGCACAAGCCAGTCACCTCCTTCCAAAGACACATAAAACAAAGGAGCCACTAGCTCAGGAGGATGTGACAGCAGCACCCCTGGGGACTATGGGTGCTACTTCAAGAGCTACCCACATGTGGGACATGTCCCTGTCACCTGGACTCAAACAGCACAGGGGCTCCCCTCAGGTTATATGAATACAGGTCCAAACTAATTTTTCCTTTCATTCTCTCAACTCATGTCTTCAATATCACCACCGAGTGGGCTGAGGACCATGACCCCAAAATACGACTCAAGACCAGAAGCCACCTAAAATACACTTTAGCCTATCCTATCCTGCTGATTGGGAACTGCAGACCTGGGGGAGCCCTGAAGACCCAGGTGCATTTCTAAAGGACATCAGGACAGACAGTGAAGGGATACTGGGGGCCAGCCAAAAGGCTGATCTGCAGGGCAGCACAGGCTTCCTTCACCTTCGTCCTCCTCTGCCCCCTCTCCCTCTATTGGAGGACCCAGGCACCCCTCCCTTGCTGGAGCTCAGGGTGCTACATAAGCTTCAGCCACCTGGCCCTTCCGCAGTCACCCTCCCGGGGACTGGTGTATATGCACATAACGTAAGTGGGTTTCCTGCAGACTGTCTGTCTGATATTGGCTTATTTTACAGACTCTTCTATCTCCTTATGAGCCCAGCTTAAGTTTTCTGTCTTCCTACACCCTTACAGTTACCTCTTCCCAGTCATCTTCCAGGTCTTATCACCCAGCTGTCTTGCATATCTGCTTCCTAAATGAAGTGGCAAATTCACCCACACCTCTCCTTTCTGGAGATGTCTTAGGAGAAGTTAAGTGCCAAGTTTTAGCCCCTTCTGTATAAGTGTGTCAATAACTGGCTGTCTACATGCAGTGGCTGCAGGGTTGAGGGGATGCAGATCAAGGCTATCTCAGAGCCTGCAAGCATTCACGAGCTGCTAAATAATCATCAACATTCACCCTGCTCTAGACACTGC